TCTATTTAAGGAGTTCATTAAAGCACAGTATTTCTACACATTGCTGGTATTGTTTCTTGTGTTGAATGAAGATCTCAGCAAAGTGGATGGGGAAGGGTATGAACTGAGAGAAAAGTACCTGTATTATTAATAAGGAAATAAAGGACCCAAGTCAGGTGGGTCTCGGCAGAATTCACATGAAATTTGGGGAAAGAAGGGCTCCCCCTTTTTGTCGAGACAGGTTTCTCCGTGTAGTCCTGGCTGTTCTGGAACTTGCTCTGTAGATCAGGCTGGCCTGGAATTCCCCCACCCCCACCCCCGACTGGGTATGTGTGCACCTCTGGCTGTCCCAGGACGAGCTCTGTAGACCACGCTGGCCTGGATCTCAGAGATCCACCAGTCTGCCTGTCGCCCGAGTGCTGGGATTAACAGGTGCCATCACGCCCATAAGAAAGGCTCTCGCCGGGCGGTGGTGGCACACGCCTTTAATTCCAGCACTCGGGAGTCAGAGGCAGGCGGATCTCTGTGAGTTCGAGGCCAGCCTGGTCTACAAACTTAATTCCAGGAAAGGCGCAAAACTGCACAGAGAAACCCTGTCTTGAAAAACCAAAAAAGAAAAAAACAAAAAAAAGAAAGGCTCTCTCTTTGTGTCTCTTAACTATAAAAGATGGGACAAGAATGCACGATGCTGCTGAGACCAGAGTGTACTCTGGAGGTTGAGACAAGCATTGTTTGTTTGTTTGTTTGTTTTGGAGACAGGGTTTCTCTGTGTAGCTTTGCGCCTTTCCTGGATCTCGCTCTGTAGACCAGGCTGGCCTCGAGCTCACAGAGATCCGCCTGCCTCTGCCTCCCGAGTGCTGGGATTAAAGGCGTGCGCCACCACCGCCCGGCGAGACAGGCCTCTCCAAACTTCAGCACCGGCCTGGGAACACACCGGGCCTCGTGTTTCAGACTTCCCTAAGATTAGTGGGGCTCAGACACTTCAGTCTCTTCCCTTAGGGGAAAACAAACTACCCCGCGCTCCAGCCAGGGCCGAGGGCGACTTTGCACGAGGCTGTGGACTGAGGTAAAGGCTGCTTCCGAAGGCAGCCCAGCCCTGGGGTTGGCGGGACCCCCATGTCCTCCCCCCACCCCCATCCCCACCCCGCCGCACACGTCCCTGCGCCACAGAACGTACAAAGCTTGGTTTAGCACTTGAATTTGCACTTGGGGAGCAATGTGATCCCCTGACGGTCGAGCGCTGCACCAAGACGGGCTGAGGGCGTCCGCTCCGCCCCGGGTGCCGGGACAGCTCCAGACCGTCTGCCCAGACACGAGTCAGGGCCCTAAGATGGCCGCGATCCCTTCCGGCCCCGCCCCTGCTGCCGGCCCCGCCCCTGCTGCCAGCCTTGGCCCGGAAGTGGAAGTAGTGACTGAGGTCAGAGGGCGGTGCCGCTGCTTAGAGACGGCGGGAGCCCTTTCGCCATGGCTGCCGGGCCGATCTCCGAACGAAATCAGGGTAATTGGGAGAGAAGAGCCCAGGATGGGCCCAGGGCGGGTGGAGGGCAGATCAGCGCCAGAGGCGCTTCCGCCGGGGTGGGAGACTAGACTCGGCCGGTGGGAGACCGACCTCTGCGGGCCGGGCCCGCGGGCCGGGTGCAGGCCGAGGCCTGTAAGGGGGGATGCTTCTAGATCCAGCTCCCTTATGTCCCCTGCCCCCACTGCCAAACAGACCAACAGAGCGCCACCGGGAAGGACAGCATCAGCAAGAACGCCCGATTAGACGTCAGCCTACTCTAGACTGGGCAGGCAGAGCGGGGTTCCGGGCTTTAGGTAGCGCTTCTTTTGTTTTCCTTTTAACTCCGACCCTGTTCGCACCTTCTGCCCCCTCGCTTTAGATGCCACGGTGTACGTGGGAGGTCTGGACGAGAAAGTCAGTGAACCGCTGCTGTGGGAGCTCTTTCTCCAGGCAGGGCCAGTGGTCAACACCCACATGCCAAAGGATAGAGTCACTGGCCAGCACCAAGGTGAGTATTTGGCAAGAAGTAACCCTGCATAGGGGTCACGGCCCCGGAAGGGTCTCAACGAGAGTCATAACTCTTGGAATGAGCCACCTAAAGGTTTCTTTCCCTTAAGCGTCAGTTCACAGCTTGTTTCTGGAGTGTTCTCTGAGCTCTAGGTTGAGGTTACTGGGACCGTTCTCACTTGAGGTGAGATTCTCCCATGTTGTTCTTTGTTTGGCGGCTAGTGAGTTAATGTTTCGTTTTGAATCTCTTCACCTGAGTAGTCCTCTTTTCTTCCGTTTCCCAGGCTATGGCTTTGTTGAGTTCTTGAGCGAGGAAGATGCTGACTATGCCATTAAGATTATGAACATGATCAAACTCTATGGGAAGCCGATACGGGTGAACAAGGCTTCAGCTCACAACAAAAACCTGGATGTAGGAGCCAACATTTTCATTGGGAACCTGGACCCAGAAATCGACGAGAAGCTGCTTTATGATACTTTCAGCGCCTTTGGGGTCATCTTACAAACCCCCAAGATTATGCGGGACCCCGACACTGGCAACTCCAAGGGTTATGCCTTCATTAATTTTGCTTCGTTTGATGCTTCGGATGCTGCGATTGAGGCCATGAATGGGCAGTACCTCTGCAACCGCCCTATCACTGTGTCTTACGCCTTCAAGAAGGACTCTAAGGGCGAGCGCCATGGCTCAGCAGCTGAACGACTTCTGGCAGCCCAGAACCCACTGTCCCAGGCTGACCGCCCTCATCAGCTGTTTGCAGATGCACCCCCTCCACCCTCTGCCCCCAACCCTGTGGTTTCATCCCTGGGTTCTGGGCTTCCTCCACCAGGTAAAGCTTTTAGTTTAAACTACACCAGGGAGGCCCTTGGGAGGGAGGGTCAGGAGGCAGAAAAACCACTGGAGTCAGTCGTTCAGTCAGTGACCAGTGAGAAAGGCGTGAGGCGTGGGGGTGGCAGTGAAGACGTTGGGTTTCCATGGGAGGCTGGGGTTCGTGCTGCAGGAGGCTGGCGCTCTGTAAGGTGGTCTTCCTCACCATGAACTCTCATTTTCTCTATAGGCATGCCTCCTCCTGGCTCCTTCCCACCTCCAGTGCCGCCTCCTGGAGCCCTCCCTCCTGGGATACCCCCAGCCATGCCCCCACCACCTATGCCACCTGGGGCTGGAGGACACGGGCCCCCGGCAGCAGGAACTCCAGGAGCTGGGCATCCCGGTCACGGGCATTCACATCCACACCCATTCCCACCGGGTGGGATGCCCCATCCAGGTAAGTGCTCTCTGCTGGGAAAAGGGGCTGAGCTTGCGGGGGTGGTTCTGTCCCTGTTTGTCCCGCTGCTCTTTGTCTTGGGTGGAAGTAGTCCAGAGTCCCCTCTCCTTCAGAAAGCGAACAGTACTTTGTATACTTCCGTGCTCCCCATTTTATCTCCATTTTTTACGTTTTCTGCAGAATAGCCTGTACTTAATGTTTTTTTCCTCTCAGCCTCTCCTCTGATTCCCAGGTAGTAGCCCAGTTGCCAAATCTCGCCGACATTTCTGCTGCTTTTTTTGTTTGTGTGTTTTGTTTTGTTTTCGGGACTTCTTGGTCCCGGACCCTAGCTGTTCTAGAACTTGATCTGTAGCCCAGGCTGGCCTTAAACTCAGATCCACCTGCCTCTGCCTCCCAAGTGCTGGGATTAAAGACATTGCCACCACTAACCAGCCATTTCTGCTTCGTAACTGCTGCTGTACATGTAACTAGCCACGTCTTCCCGTTTGAAATTCTTGTATTTTTCTGTTTTTTTTTTTTGATTCTCTGTGTTACTTAGCAACCTAGGCCAGCCCCTTTTTTCTGTCTGTAGATTTTATGTTGGTTCTCCTGTGTTTATCTTTGTGTTAAATGTACAGGTACTGATTCCTTCTGGGTCTCTAGTCCATGGTTCTTGACAGGCTAGACAAGGCTGCTGCTCAACCCACAGTTCAGTTTTCTCTCTCCTGCTACAACTTCTGTTGTAGCAGTTCACAGCTCGGGGAGTTTGTTGGTTTTGTCTTCCACCTGTGGATCTAACCCATGTTTCTGCCCTTTGCCACAACCAGCACCCTGCTCTACTGTACATACGCTTACTGTGGTAATCTCCTATCTCTTTGACTCTGATTTTCTGTCTTTGAGCTACTTTTACTGAGTAACTTTTCTAGGATCTTCATAGACTTTTCCTTAAAATTCTTCTGTTCTCTGTTACTGCAATTGCCATAGCAGTTGGTACTCAGGTTTCTCCTGATGGCCTAGTTATTGGTATTACAAACTTTGTGCCTGGAGCAGTTGATATCCACTCTCTTGTCCTTTTTTTGAGACAGGGTTTCTCTGTGTAGTTTTGGTGCCTCGAACTCACAGAGGTCCGCCTGGCTCTGCCTCCCGAGTGCTGGGGTTAAAGGTGTGCACCACCACCCGGCTCTCTCTTGTCCTCTTAAGGAATCCTTTTTTGGTGGTGATGGTGGTTTTGCGTTTACAATATATTCTTGGCTGGCCTGAAACACTCTGTAGAAAAGGCTAGTTTAAACTCACACAGATCTACCTGTTCCTGCCTCCCTAGTGCTGGGATTAAAAGTGTGCACTACCATGGCAGGCTAAAATTTTATTTTATTTTTTGTAATTTACTTTATATTGTTTTTTGAGCCAGAGTCTCATATGGCCCAGAACTTTGGTCTCAACTTTGCTAGGTAGCTAAGGTTGTTCAATTACGACTTCTGCCTCAGCCTTTGGCATACTGGGGAATGCAGGTGTGAGCTTCCTGAGACAGGGTTTCTCTGTAATAGCCCAGGCTAGCCTTGAACTTACAGAGATCCACCTGCCTCTGCCTCTTGAGTGCTGGGATCAAAGGTGTGCACCACCACTGCCCTGCTAGGAATTCTTACTGGTCTTTTAGAACTAAGCCTTTGCCCTTGGAGTATGACTGCCACCTTCCCAAGTCCTGTCACAGAGCAAAGATCTGCTTGTTGTGTGCTTTGCTGTTCGCATCTTATGCTCCAGTCACAGAAGAAGGAGGAGTGCACATTTCATTGTCTTTTCTTCACATGGAGAGAAAAGATATTTCTGATGTGCTAAACAAACTTGGAGGTAAATTAGCAGCATGCCTCCTGTAGCCGCCGCTGTCGGTCACCTTCAGACAAGTCCTGATTGAAAGGAATCAGGAAGGTGAAGAGCCTGCAGTGTTGGTGGGTTTTGCCGTTGAAAGGGTCAAGGACAGGGTCAGCCATGGTGTGATCTTCTTCATGTCCCTTGTCATTTTGTTGTTTTCTTTGCCCTGTGTCCCTTCTGTCTCTTTCTCTTTGTTTTCTTTTCATAGGGATGTCCCAGATGCAGCTGGCCCACCATGGCCCCCATGGCCTAGGACACCCCCATGCTGGGCCGCCAGGCTCTGGAGGGCAGCCACCACCCCGGCCACCTCCTGGAATGCCTCATCCTGGACCTCCTCCGATGGGCATGCCCCCTCGAGGGCCTCCTTTTGGATCTCCCATGGGTGAGTGGGTGCTAGCCCCTTTCTTATCCTTACCTATATTTACATGTGTGTGTGGGAGAGATGGAGACTCTGTAACCCAGGGTAACCTTGCCTCCTGCTCCTCCTGCCTCAGTGCCAGGAGGAGCCAGGGCATATGCCACCAAGCTGTGAGTTCTGGGTCTATTCTAGCAGCATTTTGTCATCGCCCTGTCCCAGGCCCTTTCTCTGATGTCTCCTGTTTCTTCTGCTCTTTATCTTATCCCTTACCGATCTCTCAGCTTCAACTGCTTCTTATTTTCACTTTTATTAACTCTTCTTTTGCTTCCTGCAGGTCATCCAGGTCCCATGCCTCCACACGGGATGCGAGGGCCTCCTCCACTGATGCCTCCTCATGGATACACCGGTCCTCCCAGACCTCCTCCCTATGGTTACCAGCGGGGGCCCCTCCCTCCACCCAGACCCACCCCACGGCCCCCAGTCCCACCTCGTGGTCCACTCCGGGGCCCACTTCCTCAGTAAACTACCGTCCTTTGTCTCCCTCCTAGTCCCCCCAGAATCTTCATTTCTTGGACCAAGCAGAGTCGCTGTAGCTAATGTCCTGACCCTCTCAGCAACTCTGTCCCCATTTCTATGTCATTTTTGTCCACAGGGGTTTTCTCTTCATCTTTGTTTTAAAATATTGGTCCTAATTGTTTTACACATGTATAGAGAAAATAAAATTCTACTTCTTGTTTATTCTTTGGTGAAGTAACTTCTAGAGAATTCAGGGTATTGTGGGAGGAGTGGTAGAAAAGAGGGAGTCTGTTTACATTGTAAAGGTTTTTCTGCGTGTGCTGCTGTTGCTGGACCACCAGACATCTTCACTAGAGCAGTTGTTTCCTGGAATATAGACCTTATCTCCTGGTTTATAACATGGAGACATTAGCAACAAGAACAAAATGTCTGGTGATATGTTAGCAAAAAGTAACATGCACAAGAGTATCTGTTGTAACACTATTTGGAGGTCAGTTGGGAAGTGTCAGGAAGGGGCGGGTGTCTGAACTGGTGAATCCACACACTAGAGCACTGTGCAGCTTTGAAACAACCAAGGGGGAGCTGGGAGATTAGCTTAGTGGTGGAGTGCATCCTTGGCATTTGTGAGGTCCTAGGCTCTGTCCTTGATGCCAGAGGGAAAAAGATATATTCTTGGGAAAGATGTGTAGTGTAGCATGAATCTTAAAAGTTCTTATTAATAAAATCAAACCCGAGGCCAGTTATTGGGGTCAATGCTGGTAGATCAGAGAGACAGAATAAGCCACAGCTACCTCACCTCGCCGGATCCTCAGCTGGTCTTGTCTCCTCTGCTGAATTGCTGCTCAAAAGCCTGAATGCTTAACCAGCCAAATGCTTCTAGTTTCTGGTCCTCATGCTTTATATATCTTTCTGCTTTCTACCACCACTCCCTGGGATTAAAGGCTTGCTTTCTGGGATTAAAGCCGTGATGAGTCACCATGCCTGGCTGTATCTTTGAACACATGGATTTCTGCCTCTGGAATGCTAGGATTAAAGGTGTGTGCTACCACTGCCTATCCTTTATGTTTAATATTGTGGCTGCTCTGTCTCTGACCCTAGATAAGTTTATTAGCATGCACAATATTTGGGGGACTACAATACCACAGTGTAGGTTGTAGTAAATGAAATTATATGTAACGTGCATTTATGTATTTATACAATGTGCCCATATATATGGTGTGCTGCTACCTTATCTAAGGGGTAGCACGTATGTGTGTTTGCCTATATTTAAAAATAGATGAACCAACCAATGGAAATCATCACTGGGAAGGTAGGGAACATGGAGGGAAGCTTTGTTTCTCTTTGGGAGGGCAGGGGGAGGTCTTTGTAACCCTTGCTGTCCTGGAACTCATGTAGACCAGGGTGGCCACCAACTCAGAGATACCTCCTGCCTTTGTGGGATTAAATACATGCACTACCATGCTCAGTTGAAGCTTCTTTACTGAGTGTACTATTAACATGCTTTTCATTTGGAGCCATATAAACGTCTTAAATAATAGCCGGGCAAAATGAGGAAGGACAATAAATGTTCATTTTCAGCATATGAGATTTCTATCTTATTCCTAATTTTATTCACATTGTTTCCACTCGTGTAACATTTTCCTGGTTCCTACAGAGGCTCTGTCTGCTAGTGGCGAGGATGCAAGCTCCACAAATGTTGCTGTCAGAACTGACACAAGACACAGTGACTGAAACGTGTTTTGGGAGCAGGAGAAAAGATATGTAACTTGGTTTGAAAGTTCAGGAAGACTTTCTTAGAAAAATAGTGATGGCTGAAGCTGGGCGGCAGTGGCGCATGCCTTTAATCCCAGCACTTGGGAGGCAGAGCCAGGTGGATCTCTGTGAGTTCTAAGGCTAGCCTGGTCTACAGAGTGAGTTCCAGGACAGGCACCAAAACTACACAGAGAAACCCTGTCTTGAAAAACCAAAAAGAAAAATAGCGATGTCTGAATGTAGTCTTTGGTTAAAGATGGTCTTAACTATCCAGCCATGGTGGTGCATGCCTTTAATCTATGCGTTTAGGAGGGTGGATCTCTGTGAGTTCAAAGCCAGCCTGGTCTGCATAGTGAGTTCTAGGACAACCAGGGCTACATGGAGAAACCCTGTCTCAAACTAAAAAGATGGTCGCCCTAACCCTAACCCAGGCGGCCTCAAAATGCTTTGTCTTCCTGGTCTGCCAGGAGAATGCTGGCATTAGGTGTTCCCCAGCTCCTGGCTGAGTTTTATCTTGAAAGGTGCGATTTTTGTCATGCAGAGAAGCGGGCACTGCACTAAGCTGTGTGTGTTGGAGGCTGGCTGAGGTCAGAGTCAGGTGGGGGGCTCCTGGAGGCGTCAGTGCTCCTCAGCTCTTCAAGTGGTGCAACGGAACCCTTCAAAACAACATTGAGGTAAAAGGGAGGATGCTACTTGAGCTGTGGGCTCTTGGCTCAGGAATTCTGCTGTCCTAGTTAGCATGGTTATCAGACATCAAGGTGGTAATGCGGACTAGGCATTAGTCAACTAGCTGGAGACAGATCTGGATTGGAGATGTAAATGTGGGAATTACCTAGACACAGTAGCAAAGCTGTGGGACTGCCTGATGAGAACAAGTAGAAACTCGGTACGATATGGAGGGTTCGGTACTGGTATCTTCAGCCTGGTACCAAGCCTGAAGAAACTGGAGTGTTAATGAATCCAGTTTAGGGAAGTGGGAAAGTGTAGGTGGTTAGTACATGATTTAAGTCTTCCCTCAATTTAAAAAGAAACTGTTTCCCTTTTTCCGTTTACATTTCAGGGGGGTGGAATCACCCCCTGAGTTATATCCCTGGCTATCTTTGCCTTTTATTTTGATACAGGGTCTCACTAAAGTGACCTTTAACTTATTCTGTAGCCCAGGCAGGCCTGGGACTTGTGATCCTCCTGCCTCAGCTTCCTGACTCTTGGGGACTATAGGCTTGCTCTATCACCCTTGACTAACAAGTACAGTATTTCTTCTGGGAAGCTAATAGGTCGGTGCGGAGTATGCAGAATCACTTTAAAGAGAAACAGCTTCCTGTCAGCAAGGCTTGGCTATAACCAAAGATGGGAAATAATGTATTTAAATTAAAAGATGTATTGACCTTAAGAAGTTTCATCAATGAAAGCCTAGTAAAGGGCAAGTTCCCGAGGCCCGTGTGCAGAGCTGTTCCGTGTAGCATCCTGGAAAGAGTCCTTCAGCCAGCAGATTTAGAGTAAGTACTTCTAGAGCTTTGGCAAGGCTTCCTGAGAGCTGGGGCAGAGAACTGTCGCCAGGTGAGTTTTGGGATTCATTGGCATCCTGCTGGGGATGGCCAGATGCCATTAAAGATACAAATCCTCTTGTTCAGTAGGTTCACTGTCAACTATACAACAGTGAGGATTTGCCTTTGGGGGAGAATGTACTGGACACAGCATTTCCAGTCTAGGTAAGAGGTAAGTGTTTTAGGGTAAACCAGTATCTTTTATGACTTTCAATAAATGTGAAATTTATTGACCCAAACATTTCCGAAGTCCAGCATTGGGTGCCACAAAACTTAGGTCCCCATTCCTATCACAGTAAATTTAACATGTCAAATGTCATCTGGGAAATCTCTCAGCACACAGACTTCTAGCCTTCGATATTTAAAATATCTCAACATTTAACCCACATTTAGCCAAGCAGACTCATATAGTATTACATCTACAAAAGACTTGATGTAGCACCTAGCCCCGAACACTCCATTTTCTAGACAAGAAACTTGAGGTTCAGAGAGGCAGGGGACTTGGCTAAAAGCCAACAGTGTATCAGAAGTAAAATCTGACACAGACCTTGGTCAGTGCTCTGTCCAAACAATCCTACCGTCTTACCTGGAGTGGACTGGTTCAGGGCGTATATCCTCAAGCCTCAAAGATGGTCACCAAGCGATAGCTCTTGGATCTGTCAGAGTCCAGGTTATCTGACAAGGACACGGGAAAGATACAAGAAAAAAAAGAGAACCCAAGCCAGTTCACTCCCTCTGGAGGGGGAGGGGTGCTGATCGATGGGATTTTTTTTTTTTTTTTTTGAATCACTGGAGTGGATGGGAAGAGAAATGTCCAGCTGGTCACACTTGCAAACAAACAAATCCCTTCTCGAGCACCGGCTTCTGCTAGCCGCAACTGAATGGAGAAGGAGGGGAGGAGGTCGGCCTTGTAGCTAAACAGTCTGGACTGGTTTTGGAGGAGACAGATGGCAGGGACCCAGGAGTCTCTGACTCTGGCTGTTGGGTACTGAGACCACACCTTGTTATCCCTGCTTTCACATAGCCCGGTGAACCTGGGCTCTGAGCGGTGGGCTTGAGAGGGTGGTTCTGGATTCCAGGGAGCAGGGTAGAAGGGGAGGGGGCTGTATTTAAGGCAGCAAGAGCGGCTGGTGCTGGGACTCCTGAGTTGTCACCTGGTTGGGGTGCTAAGGAGGGGGCTGCTTCGTTCATCACCCCCTTTTCCGTCTCCCCATTTGCTCCCCTAACCACTATTAGTGCCTTCCCTTGGTTTCTGTCATCTTTTGCTAGGAGGGAAGGGCTGGGAAAGGCTCATTTCCAGCTGTCGCCCTGACAATCCCCTCCAGTCCCTTCATCATCTTTTTTCCTGTGTCCTAAGTCCCCTCCCCATCCCTGTTTCTTTCGCCTACCCCCCCAGCAATGGTCTCTCCCGATGCTCACTGGCGCGGGGGAGGGGGGGTCGGAGGCGGGGCCGGAGCGCGTGCGGGGGGGCAGGTCTGCAGTGCCGCTTCCCCTGGTACGAGGAGCAGTCGCCGCCGCTGCCGCCTCAGCCCTGCGGCTGGAACCCCTCCCTCACCCGGGGACTCCCTGACCCCGGGAACCCAGCTCAGGTGAGACCCCTCTCCTCTCACCTCCACCCCGCCCAAGGCAGAAGCATCCTTGCCTAGCCTTGCAGCCATTTTATCTCGGATGCTTTGCTTCTGGGGAGGGCGACTGTCCCTGCTGTCGGGGTGAGGGTGGTGGTGGTGGTGGTATCAGTTTGGGGAATGGGCCGTTTATTTCAGTTTCTTTGAGAATCGACTTGAATAATAAATATATATATGTGCATATACACATATATGTATGTATAGACACAATACATTCATAGATACATGCATATATATATATACACACACACACACACACACACACACACACACACATATATGAGGATTTTTTTTCCTATCTTAGTCTAAGTCCCCATTACACTCTTTGGAGATAATAAAATGGTGATGGGGTTGTTAGGTAAGCTGGGGTTCCCTCAGACTCCAGTCCCCTCCTCACCTTGACGTTATGTTCTCCCTCACTCCACCCCTGCCCCCCCCCCAATGAAAAATGACCTTGGCTCGGGCCAGAGAATGGGTACTGCCTCTTGCCTGGCCTGGGGTGGGTTGGGGCAGAGGAGTAGGGTTGGTGCAGGATGGAAGGAATGATAGTGGAGAGACAGAGATGGGAAGCAGCCAGGTGGCGGGGCTTGGGGCTGGAGGCAATTACTGAGGGGGGCAGGGGAGGGGTGCAGAGTGATGCTGGGCACCTGTCCAGCGCAGGACCAGGGGCGGGAGCAACGGTACAATCAGTCCTAGGGCCTCCTGCCTGGTACCAGAGCTGAGGCGAGGTGAGGGTGGGGGGTCTCTAAGCCTGTGCATGGGGGGGGGGCATTCTTTCTGCATCTCTGGCCTCTCCGTGAGCATTCTCCTTCCTCCGTGTGCATTCTCAGCTGACACTGCCCCCCCCCCCCCCCCCCAACCCTCCCTCCACGGACAAAACTGGATGCTCCCATCTTCCAAACCCAGGGGTAGATGGTAGGGGTGAGGCTCAGCCTTGCTGGTCCTGTGGAGGGGTAGGAGGGTCAGTTCTCAAGCTGTGATGTAGGAGGGGCTCTCTGGAATCCCCCACAGCCTACCTTCTCTGACCCCTGTCCTTTTCCATGAGAACCTCTTGATAAATGGCTGCTTCTTAATGACCTTGTCACTTCTTAATGACCTGGGATAGGATGGGCTGAAAACCTGGGTGTCCCCCAAATCAAGGGCTTTGCTTAGGGGCCTGGTCTGACCTGAGCCGCTGTCCTGACAGGAACAGGTTTGCTTATGAGGTCTCTTCCATATGCCCTTTCTACCTTCTGCAGAAAATCTGGACACGTCTCTTCCGGTCAGGTGAAGTCAGTCAGCCTTACAGGACTTGGTAAAGCCCGGTCTGGTCTCCTTCCCCTCCACCTCCTGGTGCCGTCTCTCTTCCTCAGGCTCAGCCACTCTGTGCTGCTTTGCAGGCTAAATATAGCAGCACTTCCTCACCAGCTCAAAGAATTTGTCTTCTTTCTCTCTCCTGGGCTTCTTGGCCCTGGGGGAGCGGGCTGTTGAGCTCCCGTCTAGTGTTGGGGCTGTGGGAGCCTCTCCTACCTCCATAGTCACGTATGAGCGATACACAGGGTTGGGGAACAGCTCCTGGTCGGTCCAAAGGCTTCCTTCAGGGTCTGAGGGGCGGTCATGGTTGGGAAAGAAAGGCAAGGGATCAAAATTGCCTTGCACTGAGGATGCTTGGTCCCCGGACCGTGAAGAAAAGGTGACGTGGGGGGTCACTGCTCTGGTCACTGCTGGACAACAACTGCTTAGAGCTGTCCTTCCCAGTGCTCCATTTCTGAATGACATGGCATTATTTACCCCTTTCCACTAGCACACGTGTGTTCGTGTGTGTGTGTGTGTGTGTGTGTGTGTGTGTGTGTGTGTGTGTGTGACATTACTCAACGCTCTGGCTGGGTGGGAGGAGTGGGTAATTTTGGGGAATGATCTTGCTCAGAATCTAGGCCTGTGTCCTCTGTTGCCATGAAGGAGGTTATCTTATTCCTCCGTTTATGGGATGTCTTTTCTTTCTTCCTTTCTTTTTTTTTTTTTTTTTAAGGGGGAAGTCCTAGGCCCCCTTCATTCTCCACCAGCTGCCTACGCAATGTGGTATTTGTGGACTCTTTTTTCATTGACTCATGAAGAAACAGAGGGATTCAGGGGGATGAGGAAGGGAGACCCTGGAGGACCGAGGCACAGCTATAGGTCTGAGACACTCAACAGAAATGTGACCTCAACCAGTCATTTCTACCCCCAACCCACCGGTGAAAGGGGGGGTCTCTGTGTGACATTCTGAGGGAAGGGGGTAGCAGCTAGTTGTCTCTTCTTAGCTCATGATCTTCCTTTGTCCCTTTACCTGGGTTCCAAGTCTCCCTTTGGGGTCCTTATCCTGTTGGTCTACAAAGGATATAACTCATTCCAGCTGTTGGAATTAGTTTAAATAGAGAGTTCTTGGGAGGATCCTGGGCATCGACAACCAAGTCTGGACCTCTCTTGACTGCCCCTGCTTCGTTTACTCCTTTTCAATATAATAGGGAAGGAAGCAAACTAGTAGTCATAGAATATTACTGTGAGGTTAAGTTTCACAACTCCAAGGAACGGATTTCCCCAAGTTAATTATCATCAGGTTAAACAGAAGGACACGGAGGCTCGGGTAAATTGGGGCAACGTGCCCATCTGCAGTTAGCAAGTAGGGGGCGGGGACTTCAAATGTCATGTGCTTCGCATCCAACCAGCATTCTCCTTGATAGTGTCCCTTTTTGCCTTCACTCTAAAGAGCATGCAGAGGTTGCTCGGCCGAGGGCTCTTTGGGAGGGATCGTAGGGCATCTATCTCACGGTGTGCTTTCACCGCGGTGACACGAGAGCTGATGTTTCTCGTCACTTTTTCTGTGCCAGCTCCTGTGGTAAGCGTACATGCATTGAATCCCTAAACCCTCGCTTCCCTCTTTTAAGTGAGAGGGATCCAAGGCTTGGATATTCAGAAACATGTCATACTCTTGTAGTATGCCCAACCCAAGCCTATCTTCCTCGGCTGGCTGAGCTTTACCTATTAGGCTAAGCTGGGAGAAATCTCTCCTCAGGAGACCTCCAGGGACTGTGGAGACCCCACCTTTAGCTCCATCAGTGGAGTGAGGAACCTGGTCAGAGGGCTTGACCTCCCTGACATCGCCCTCAAGCTCTGTCCCAACCAGAACCCTTCAGCTGACTAGAGCAGGAGTTCTTGTTTCTCCTGGGTTTTCTTTGCAGCGGGTCTGAACTGGATGTGGCAGTGGTTAGTTAGGGAGGGGCAGACAGATGACTGACTCTGGAGCGAATCCTGTAGCTCTCCCCTCCAAGGTCTTAACGGGATTTGTGGGTTCAGTGGCCCTGTTGGCCCACACCACCACCCCTCTTCAATGGCTGGTGGCCTGAGGTGGAGGCACCACCTGTACCACATGGTCTAGGCCTGTCTCTGGGTTGAGAGGGGTTCCATCTTGGCCCTCCTTCAGTAGCCTAATGAACTTGCCTTTCTCTCTGTTTTCCAGGTCTCCAGAGGCTCCTAGAAGAGAAGTAGGCAGCCCTCCCTGAAATAGCTTGGCTCCTCGGTTTAACCTCTCCAACCTGGCGCCCCCTTCCCACCCCCTCCCCCTGTCCCCCCTCTCCCTCCCCCACTCCCCCTACTGAACTGGGTGCAGAACAAAGCTCTCCCCTTCCTGTACCCTTGGGGACCTCACTGGCCAGGCCCTAGTTCCTCTTACTCTGAGCCCAAAGATACCGGACCACATTTCATCTGGGGAGGGGGTCTTCTTGACCCCACAAGTCGTTGAGTAAAAGTCTGAAAAAGAGGCAGCGAGGGAGGGTAGATCAAGCGAGGTGCGCCCAAGCCCCATCATGGAAGAAGGCTTCCGAGACCGGGCAGCGTTCATCCGTGGGGCCAAAGACATCGCCAAGGAAGTCAAGAAGCACGCGGCCAAGAAAGTGGTGAAGGGCCTGGACAGGGTCCAGGATGAGTATTCGCGAAGGTCTTACTCCCGATTCGAGGAGGAAGATGATGACGATGACTTCCCGGCCCCTGCTGATGGCTATTACCGCGGAGAAGGGGCCCAGGATGAGGAGGAAGGCGGCGCTTCCAGCGATGCCACGGAGGGCCACGACGAGGATGACGAGATCTACGAGGGAGAATATCAGGGCATTCCCCGGGCAGAGTCTGGGGGCAAAGGCGAACGGATGGCAGATGGGGCACCCCTGGCTGGAGTGAGAGGGGGCTTGAGTGATGGGGAGGGTCCTCCTGGGGGCCGGGGGGAGGCGCAGCGGCGGAAAGATCGGGAAGAATTGGCTCAGCAGTATGAGACCATCCTCCGGGAGTGTGGTCATGGCCGCTTCCAGTGGACACTCTACTTCGTACTGGGTCTGGCGCTGATGGCCGATGGTGTGGAGGTCTTTGTCGTGGGCTTTGTACTGCCCAGTGCTGAGAAAGATATGTGCCTGTCTGACTCCAACAAAGGCATGCTAGGTAAGAGCCCTGTGAACACCCTGCTGCCGGGAACTGCCCAGGCCTTCCCAATAGCTGTGCAACATGTACCTAGAGGGCCCACGGATCCTCTGCAACCCCCCCCCCCCCCAAGACACCCTCTTCTGGAGGTTGAGTTCATGAAATTGTGTGTGAAAGAGGGAGTGAGTGTAAGCTGGGTTGGGGCTTTCACTAGTGTCTGAGTGGGTGGTAGTTTGCCTAACTGCGGGATCTGGCCCTGGTGGGTTGGGCTACTGTTGAGTGCATCTTCAAAGCCTTCCATCCTGTCCCTCAGTTAACTGCCCTCCCCTGCTGCAGAACAAAACAACAACAACTTTGAAATGCTTTGGTATACATGGGAAGGGTCTGTTTGGAGTGGTGTGGGTAGGGACAATTCAGACATGGGAGTGTCCAGGGACCGGGAATGTCTTTGATGGCCTTTCCGGACAGGGATCTAGAAGGAGGAGTCCCATAGGCTCACTGAGAAGTTATAGAGGGCTGGCTTTGCCATAAACAGGTCTCTCTCTTGGGGCTTGGTTTGGACATTGATAAAATGCAGAATTTGGAGATGATCTAAAAAAAATCAGTCCCAATTATGCTTTTTTGGAAAGAAACAGTACACTGGGGAATTTTAGGACCCTCAGTATTGGGACTAGAAGGATAAAGGAGAAACGTTGTATTGGAGCCCCTTTCCCAAAGAACAAGAGATCTCCTTCTTTGGGGGCGGGGGGACGCCAGGTGTGAAGTGAATGAACACCATTAGTCCCAGCACTCAGGAGGCAGAGGCTGGTGGATCTGTGAGTTTGAGGCCAGTCTAATCTACACAGTGAGTTCTGTTCTACCAGGTCAGCCTGGTCTACACAGTGAGTTCTGGGCCAGCCAGGGCTACACAGTGAGACACCATCTAAAGAACACAATTAAAAAACCACCAGACAGGCCGGGCGATGGTGGCGCAAGCCTTTAATCCCAGCACTCGGGAGGCAGAGCCAGGCGGATCTCTGTGAGTTCAAGGCTAGCCTGGGCTGGGCTACAGAGTGAGTTCCAGGAAAGGCGCAAAGCTACACAGAGAAACCCTGTCTCGAAAAAAACAATAAACAAACAAAAAACACCAGACAAATCAAACTGGGTAGAGTGGATGGGGGGGGGGGCATCTAGGAATCTAGGCAGATCCATTTCACTTCTAGGTGAGTTGGGGATGAATATTATGTGTGATCGAGGGAGGAAGAAGAGAAGAGGAGAGGGAGGAAGAGGGGCGTTAGGGAGAGGGAAGGAACGGGGTCGGGGGAGGAAAGTGAGGGAGGGTTTTTCTCACATATTTGCCTTCTTGCCTTTGAACCCCTGGTCTGCAGTGACGACTGTCCTTCCATCTTTGTTCACACACCACCCTCTCTCCCTCTCTGATCTCTGGGTAGACGTAGCTTCTAGAAGCTCCACAGAGCCACTGTGCTGCAGGAGGCTCAGCCCCCTACAGTGCTCAGCGGATGGGAGAGCCGAGGCGGATCTGCTCACGGGCCTCCGTTTCCTCCTCTCCGCAGGCCTCATTGTGTACCTGGGCATGATGGTGGGAGCCTTCCTCTGGGGAGGCCTGGCTGACCGGCTGGGTCGGAGACAGTGTCTGCTCATCTCGCTCTCAGTCAACAGCGTCTTCGCCTTCTTCTCGTCTTTCGTCCAGGGTTATGGCACTTTCCTCTTCTGTCGCCTCCTCTCTGGGGTTGGGTGAGTGTGTCCACCCTCAAAGACCCTGCTGCAGTGTGTGAATTGAGTGAATGGTCCCCTTCCCCACCCCCACCCCCATCTTCCGGCCAGCTGTGCCTGGCCAGGGCCTGCCTGATAACATGCAGAATACTCTGCCTGGTCCACCCCTGAGTCCTGCAGCTTAGCTCTAACTCTGCTTCTGAGGCTGTCTGCACAGAGGTCCAGGGCGCCTCGCCGCCTTGCCCTCTCCCAGCTCAGCCTTTTCCTGCCCTGAGACCTGCTTGCCTGTTTCCTGCCATCCCAAGAATGGTGACTGGTGGCAAGAAGAGCTTGTAGGACATGATGTATGAGATGGAGGTGGGGGCGGGGGCTGAGGACCCGGAGCACTGGGGTGGGGATTGGGATGATGGCTGTTTCCTAATGTTAATTTTTGAAATGTGCAGGATTGGCGGTTCCATCCCCATTGTCTTCTCGTATTTCTCGGAGTTCCTGGCCCAGGAGAAACGGGGGGAACATTTGAGCTGGCTCTGTATGTTCTGGATGATCGGTGGGGTGTACGCAGCTGCAATGGCCTGGGCCATCATTCCCCACTATGGTAAGCAGGGGTCCCCCAGACTCTCCATCCTCCCAGCTCTGCTGTGCTCCCTGTGACGGGAGCACTCAGCTTCCTGCTTCTCTGCTGACTCTGCGCCTGTCTGCCAGGGTGGAGTTTCCAGATGGGCTCAGCTTACCAGTTCCACAGCTGGAGGGTCTTTGTCCTCGTGTGTGCCTTTCCCTCGGTGTTTGCCATCGGGGCTCTGACCACGCAGCCAGAGAGTCCCCGCTTCTTCCTGGAGGTGAATGGATTGCTTCAGTGGGCTGGGGAGGGGATAAACATGCTGGCTGTGGGGTTGGTACACTGCTGTGACCGCTTTCTCCTTCATGTGCCCATAACTCGGGGCGGGGGGGCGGGGGGAGCTTTATCTGGTTTCCTTTGTCTTCAAATGTGTCTCCAGAGGGGTTTGGGGAGACCGGGAAACCTGCTCATCTATGGGTGGCTTAGGCTTCTGCAGGCCCAAGTTGGGATCCCCCCTTTACATCTCCCTTCCAGCCATACCTGACTGTGGCAGATTAGGATGTGTCTCCTCCTCTGACCACGGACCTGACCAACATGTCCCTCATCTTAGGCTTTTCCTTTCTGTTTTACTGGAGAAATCCCTAGGATCTATGCTGGCGTCCGTTCCCCTGCAGCCCCCCCAACTCTTGCTGTACCCCAGCTCGGGCTGATGTGTATCCCCAGAGACCAGGGTTGCAGGGAGCTGGGACTCCTTTTGTATTTGGGGATCTTAGCAGCCAGATGGAAGGGGCGGTTTCTGGAACACTGGGTCCGGAAGCCCTGAGTCGCATGTTGGGAATTACGTTTGTGGTTCCAGAATGGGAAGCATGACGAGGCCTGGATGGTGCTGAAGCAGGTTCATGACACCAACATGCGAGCCAAGGGCCATCCCGAGCGAGTCTTCTCAGTAAGCTACAGTTCTTCCTGCTCACCCCTACGGTCCCCTCTTGGGCCCTTTCTGGATGCGCATTTTTACCCTCAGACCACACTGCAGTTCAATGGTACTCCCAGGCACATGTCACCCCCTGCCTCCTGTCATGCTTCTGAGAGAAAGAGGCGCTTGGAGTGGGCTGGGGAAATAGTGTGTGACTGTGTGACAGCTCAGCCCTTCTCTTGCGCCCAGGTAACACACATTAAAACGATTCATCAGGAGGATGAATTGATTGAGATCCAGTCTGATACAGGGACCTGGTACCAGCGCTGGGGAGTCCGGGCTTTGAGCCTGGGGGGTCAGGTAATGGGGGACTGCGTGGTGGAGAGAGAGAAGGGAGCGGGAGAGGTGGAGCAGGGAGGGCTGGAGCCCGTGTGGTGGTGAAGGTGAACCGGGGGGGGGGGGGGGGGGGGGGGGGGGGGGGGGAGGTGGGAAGCAAAAAGACCTGGAGATCTGTGAGTGGAAGTCAGTGTGGCCACCTGTGGCCCTCACTGTGTCCCTTGTAGGTTTGGGGGAATTTCCTCTCCTGCTTCAGTCCGGAGTATCGGCGCATCACTCTAATGATGATGGGTGTATGGTTCACCATGTCGTTCAGGTGAGAGGGCGAATGTGTGGGCTGACGAGCGATGGGACTGGAGGTGAGGGGGCAAATGAGGAGGGGAGACGCTGTCTGTTCCCATCCTCTCGATCGATGCTTCCCCCAGGTTCTCTACTTAATGAATTCATCCAACTTGTAATTCAAGCCGACGGGCATCCCATTTTTATCCTGTGCAGACAATGTACTGGGATGAGTAGACATGTCCCAGTCCTTAGGGTTCATATTCTGTCAGGAAGAGATAAAACTAGCTGTTAAATCCATGTTCTGTCAGGAATAGATAAGACTAGCTGTGATGCCACAGTGAGGTGAGGGCATTGTGTTAGGGGGACACATGGGGCTTGGTGGGTGGGGATCTAAATCCTCAGAGAGAATGGGAATAAGACGGGGAAGGAAGAGGAGATACCTGGGAAGCAGAGTATCATGGGCAGCATAGAAAACCGTCAAGTCCCCAGAACATAGAAGGGGTGTTGTGAGATGAGGCAGGGGTGGGCACGCCCCTACACAGGCGGACTGTTCACCCAGCCCTCTGATGGGCTTCTGGTGTCTTATCTGCCCCATCTGACTCCACGCCTTTGATTCTCCAGCTACTACGGTCTGACTGTCTGGTTCCCCGACATGATCCGCCATCTCCAGGCTGTGGACTATGCAGCACGGACCAAAGTGTTCCCCGGGGAGCGCGTAGAGCACGTGACATTTAACTTCACGCTGGAAAACCAGATCCACCGAGGCGGGCAATACTTCAATGACAAGTATGTGGGGGCTTTTCAACGCCACTCTCCCCTGCCCCTTCTGCTTCCTGTCACTGATGAGTCTGAGTCCAAGACAAGGTGGTTTGGGGCAAAGCCCGTGTGTGCTCGGTGCTGATGATCTCTCTACTTCTAGGGGAGTAAGTCAGTGAAGGGGTGAGGCTGAGGGGGCGCGTCTCATCATCCTGGTCCTGCAGGTTCATCGGGCTGCGTCTGAAGTCAGTGTCCTTCGAGGACTCCCTGTTTGAGGAGTGTTACTTCGAAGACGTCACGTCCAGCAACACGTTCTTCCGTAACTGCACGTTCATCAACACCGTGTTCTATAACACTGGTAAGGTGGCCAGTGGGTGTCAGCTCAAGGACTGGAACCTGGATGAAGGGAGAAGGAGGCTTCCTCGTCCCCTAGCTCACAGTTCTCAAGCTGAGAGTCTCCTGGAGCCTTGGGGTTACTTACTGGCTACCCTCAGTGGTTGGGAAATATAATGAACATTGGGCATTTTGATCGACTATGAGGAAAATGTCCCATTTCTTTACCTTTAGCTGTAATTATGAAAGTTCAGTGAGGTAATGTCAATGTAATTTTGAAGAGGGTAACTGGGTTATTGGGGAAAAGGAAGACAATAAAAAGGGATATTTAATAAGGCCAGCAGCAGGGCTCCTGTTTGTAGCCAGCTCGGGAGGACAAAAGGACAAATAAGAGACAGAGACTAGTAAAGCCTCAGACACGCCGTGCTTCTTGAGTACGGTCTGCTGAAAAGATTGCTAGTTCCCATGGTGATCTTATCTGATGCTTTGCAACGAGTGCCAGGGACTGAGTGAGCTGCGAGCCCCCAACTGTTAACGTCCACAAACGCAGCCAATCCCTAAGCCATAACCCGCTTCGGTCTCACTGCCCGCTCTGTGTCTTGCCCTCCTAGACCTGTTTAAGTACAAGTTTGTGAACAGCCGTCTGGTGAACAGTACGTTCCTGCACAATAAGGAAGGGTGCCCACTAGACGTGACAGGGACGGGCGAGGGGGCCTACATGGTGTACTTCGTCAGCTTCTTGGGGACACTGGCTGTGCTTCCTGGAAACATCGTGTCTGCCCTGCTCATGGACAAGATTGGCAGGCTCAGGATGCTTGGTAAGGGGGTGAGGGCGGGGTGCCAGCTGATCAGCATCGAGGCCACTGCAGCTGGGGCAGGCTGTCCGAGAGCGTCTCACCTCCAGCCGTGGAAGAGATGGGCCAGAGAGCTTTTCCCCCTGTCATGTTTTGTTCAGGGGTGCTGCAAAATGGGGGTGGGCCTGGCATAGAAGTTACTCTAGGGGGTTAAAGAGAATGACAGGCAAGTCGATACAGACTTTGAGGTTATGGGTTCGAAATTCAGCTCCGCCACTTACCTTGGGGCAGGCTCTGCCCTTTGAGCTCTCCCCTGCAACATAGGAAATGAAAACAGCACCTCTCTCCGAGGGCTGATGCCTCAGAAAGGTCCATCTGAGTCGTCAAGTTACTTGTCTCTTAGTTGGTTGAAATGAACGGCTGCCGCTGTTACTGATATTAACAAACGCAGGCAGGGGTCGAGGTACCTTGGGAAACAGCTACCCAGGGTTGTCGCAAAGTGAGCTGGTCCAAGCTGGGCCATGGCTGGGTTTCATTGCTCTCTCTTCTGGCCCCAGCTGGTTCCAGTGTGATGTCCTGTGTCTCCTGCTTCTTCCTGTCCTTCGGGAACAGCGAGTCAGCCATGATCGCTCTGCTCTGCCTTTTTGGGGGGGTCAGCATTGCATCCTGGAACGCGCTGGACGTGCTGACTGTCGAACTCTACCCCTCGGACAAGAGGTAGTTTGGAGTGGGGTGGGGCAGGGGAGGAGGTTTAGGAGCTACAGGAGGGGAGAAGTGGGGTGAAGTGGGGGGCTGAATGGGAGGACTATCCTTAGGGGCAGGACACCCCCCCTCCCGCTGAGTTTCCCCAGCAGGTGGGAGCTTTTGCGCTTACTCCTTGTACTTCTGGCTACTGACCTCATGCTCCTGTCTCCTTTCTCTCTCTTCTCCTGGTTTGTCTGTATTCCCACCTGTCCCCGCACCTCTCCACCCTTCCTCCCCTCTCCTGAACGCTGCCTGCCATCTTTCCTCACTTCACTTTTTCACCTGCCTGTCTTCCTTCTCCTGGGCCCTGACTGCCACGTGGCTTGGCTCTGGGGCCTCCTGAGCAGGACCACGGCCTTTGGCTTCCTGAATGCTCTGTGCAAGCTGGCTGCAGTGCTGGGGATCAGCATCTTCACCTCCTTTGTGGGAATCACCAAGGCTGCTCCTATTCTCTTTGCCTCGGCTGCTCTTGCCCTTGGAAGCTCTCTGGCCCTGAAACTGCCTGAGACCCGGGGGCAGGTGCTGCAGTGAGGAGGGTCTCGGGGCTCTAGGGGTGGCAGGCACACTGTGAGACCAATAATTCCTTTTCTCCCTCCCCTGCCCTGCCGTCCTGACCCTCACTCCCCTGTGTTTGGTGTCTTAGCTGTGTGTGCCTGTGTGCATGTGTGTGACCCCGACGGGCAGGGTCTACAGGGAAGGTCCCCTCATCCCACGTTTGGGATGAGGCACTCCCCACCTGCTGCCACCCCTCAACTTTGCACAGGAGAAGGTTGAGCTGCACCCTTCTCTCCCCCAGTGTTCGTGGGGGGCCCTTGTTTCCCTGATCCGGGGGTTCCAGAACTTCTGCCTCCCCTTCATTCCCTCTGCCTAGGCCCTGGTGAACCACAGGTATGGAGTTATGTTGGGGGCTGAGGCTTGGACCAAAAGAACTTCTTGAATGGGAAGGGCCTTGGGTGCCCTCTAACCTCCCAAGGATGCTGGGGAGTAGCAATAAACCTCAGCCCTCTGGCCTCCATTTTCACCTCACTGCAGGCTACAGATATGAAGCCTGGATTTTATGGAATTAGTTTTCTGATTCTTATTTATATATAAGTTCTGAGGCAGCTTAGCAGGACTGTGTGTGTATGTGTGTGTGTGTATGTGTGTGTGTGTGCCATGGGGCAGGGGTACCACTATACTGCTCAAATCTAAGCCCAGGGTAGTAGTTTCAGTGAATACACACACAACATTGTTTTTATTACCTCCCAGAATCTTCCATGTTGGAGCTGGGAGGGAGAAGCCAGGCTGGGATGATAGTCCTGCAATCTAGGGAGACCTGGGGGCACCTGACAAGGCCTCACTCTCCTTCCTCCTCCAGAGAGGTTCCACCCACTAGCCACAGCCCTCCCACCTGACCTGATCTCACAGGCAGGAACCGGAGGAAAAAGGGAAAGAACCAGGCATAAGGTCAAACCAGCAGATCCAAAAGCACAAGGAGTTGGGGCAGGGGCAGGAAGCAGGGGTCCTCCTCAGCCCTTCTCAAAGAGGCTGGGCAGTGAGGGACCCCCAATGCAGGGACCAGAAGCCTCAGTTTCCCCATCTCGCTGTCCACAGAACAGCCTCTGTAGGTAGAGCTGCCCCCGTCCTACCCTACTGTGTGGCTGCTTTCTTTGGTACTCTCCCCCGACTCCCTCCGTAGCTGTGATGTGTTGTAGTTTTTAGCTGTTTGTAAAATGTTAAAAAGTTAAAAGGAAGTTAAAAATAACCACACAAAAAAAGAAAATTCCAAATTCACCCTTCTCGCGCTTCGTCCGGTGCCCTCGACCCTAAGGCCATTCCCTGATTTTGTAACACTGAACCAGGTGGTGACTGTGTAACTCTGGTGTCTGTGCTCAAAGGACTGCCTTCTCCTCCAGTGCCCAGTGTGCGAGTGTGTACCCCTCCTCACCATTCCGTGGCTGGACGTAGCCCTCTCCCTTACATCCCCGGGGGAGACACATCCACTTCCTTGTCTCCTTGGGAACCCTAAACCTGATTCATTGATGTGAAAAATGAAATGAAAAATACTGCTGAAAAATAAAGGGTACCAATCCTTAGAATTCAAAGTGGCTCTGTCCGCTTCTTGCACCTCCACTCACATTTAACTGCCCCCCCCCCCGACAGTCTGGAAGATAGTGTTGGGGAAACAATTCCATCTCCAAAGCCAAAATAAACAACCCCCTCTATTACTATTCTTGACGTGTGGAATAGGGTGCCTCAAATCCACGTTTTGTTTAAGAACCATTTATTTATGGGGGCTGGAAAGGCAGCTCTATGAGTTAAGAGCCCTTGTTACTCTTGCGAGAAGCAACAAAAACATGTATTCTATGTGCATGAGCCTTTTGCTTGCACATGGGTCTGTGTACCCATCAAGGCCAGAAGAGGGCATTAGATCCCCTGCAACTGGAGTTACAGTTGGTTGTGAGTCACCATGTGGGTGCTGGGAACCGAACCTGGATCCTTGGAAGAGCCGAAAGTGCTGCGCCATCTCTAGCCCCGTTTTAAGCCATGTCTTTTGGGAATTCCTACTGCCTGCAGCTTGCCCTGGATTCCTTCACTCTAGTCCATTGCTGCTTTAACCAAGATACATTACACTTTTTCTTTTTGTGAGACAAGTCCCTAGTTAGCCCTGAATGGCCTTGAATTCAGAGAGATCTGCCTGCTGCTCCTCGTGCTGGGATTAAAGGCATGCGCCACCACACAGGGCTCTGAAGCCTTCAGTAACCTTCTACTGCCCAAACAGGTCCCATCTAGACACTGTTTACAGTCAGAAACGGTCAAGATCATATACTCAGACGTACGCACTTGCATTGCTGGGGTTAGACCCAAGGCTTCAGACAAGCTAGTCAAGTGCTCTGCCACTGAGGCACATCCGAGGCCCAAGCTATGGTCAGCAACACCTTTCTCTGGTAACCTCCAGGTAAGAGGCATTGGGAAGCTGCTTCTGAGCATCACCTGAGCTCCCCTTGAAAAACCAGGCAGTGTTTGTCTCCGTTCTTTTCCTGCTTCAGATGCAGGAATTTCTTTCTTTCCGGTGTAATTTTGGGATTCTTGTAAAATACCCTAATACTTCACTTCCTCTCGAATCCCTTCTTCTCACAAAACAAAACAAAACAAAAAAACACCTGTAGGGGCCTAACAGCTGCATAAACCTGATGGCCTCAGTTCTTGGACTCCCCAGAGTTGTCCTCTGACCTCTACATGAGCGCCATGGTGTGTCATGTACCTCCCATTACATACACAATAACACGTAGCTCCAACTTAACGGGTATTAAGAACACGGCTTTGACCTCTCAAGGCTGCCTCTCTTTATTTTCATGGCCCTGACTCATCAGGACCAGGCAGCCCTTCCTGACTAGCCCAAGCAGGGGCAGCTGTGAGTACCTGCCCTCTCCCTGGCTACCTTAGCTTTCACCGGCCGGGAGCTTCTTTGCCTCTGCATGGCGTAAGCTAGCAGAAAGGGTAGGGGCCCTGGTCCACACAAATCAAGGGATGACGTAGTAGTGACTTAGTAGTTTATTTTCATTTGGCCCATTCCGATCGTTGTTCTCCCAATCTGGGTATTAGGAGGTCCCTCGAGTTTTCTTGCTCCCACCTAGGCAGGGGGGGCTAGTGTCCAACTGTGGGTTCTCCCTCCACTGGGCGGGGGTCTTCGCCTGGATGGCCAGCGCGTGTACCGGTCCGGCCAGCTCCTCCGACAGCGCCGCGTGAACCAACCGGTGCCGTTGCAGGGGGCTCATCCCCTCGAACCGAGAGCTCACCACGGCCACACGGAAATGCGTCTCGCTGCCTGCTGGGACGGCGTGGCCGCCGCTCTCGTTGCGCAGCTCCAGGACCTCGGGGCTCAGGGCTTGCTCTAACTTGGCGCGGATAGCGGCCTCCACGGGCCCGCCGGCCGCCGATCCCGCGCTGGCCCGCGACACACACGCGCGCGTGGCCATGGAGACCACGCACCGGGCCAACTGCGCCCTCAGCATCCGCTGCGGGAGAGACGAAGGGCGCAGGGCTGAGAGCGGGGTCCACCCACCCTCCCCACGCACCCTCCCCACGCACCCCGGGACCGCCTCTGCACGGCGTGGCGGGCGAACGCGGCTCCTACGCCGGCAGCGGAGGGACAAGGGGCGATTGTTGGGACGGCCGGAGGAGCTCTGGGCACTAAGGGCACTGGGAGGGCATGGCTGGGAGCTGTGAAAATGGAGGATGTGCAACTTCGTCCTTTTGGCTGAGTCAGAGCCCTAACGTCCCCTCCAAACCCTAGGGAGGTACCTTTGCGCAGCCAGCGTTACCTTGCTTTTCGAGGCGTCGGGAAGCTCGCAAGGAAACGCAGTCCTGGTTGCGTCTGGTAGGCGTTACGTAGTACCCGGAGGTTTCATGGGAATTGTAGTCCCGGCTCCTCCCAACCGGTGAAGTCCTGAGAAATCCGGAATTAGAGCAGCGCAAAAACACAAGGGTAAAAGGATTTCCTGCAAATTTGGGATTGTTGCACCGGATCTGTTGTTTCTTGATCTTGTAACTCAAATAGCTTTATTCCTTTATAGTTAATTAATTAAAAACAAGATGTCATGTAGCCTCCAGCTCTCTAGAATGCCTGTTATTTCCTGATCCTCCTGCCTCTACCTACTGGGATTACTGTCCCATGTCACTGATAGAGTGCCTCCAAAGTAAAAACAGGATTCCTGTGCTCAATAGGTCAGCCACAACTCAGAGGGGGAATGTCTGCTGGGGCAGCCTATTTCCCAAGATAATCTGTCTTGCTTGAAGCCGATCATTCCAGGAAGAAGAAACTGAAGAACCTCATGTAGTCCCCTACAGCTGCATCAACTTCCTTATTCCCAAACCTCTCACTCACCCCTATATAGGGTCCCAAGCAGCTTTTTCCTCTTTCAGACCCCTTCGTTCCTGAGATAGATGTCCCTCTCTGTGTGCACTAATAAACAGGCTCACCTGTTGAGGTCAGACTCTGGTCTCGTTCTGCCTTCTGTCTCTTTACTCTGTACTCCTAAATCTAATAGTCACACCTGAGGATCCCAATTACTCTATTATACATACAAGAAGCCCATTCTATATACTAAACACATAATCATTGTGTGCCAGACCAGTGCTGGAGGCTGGAGAATAAAGCCAGGCCCTGCTCTTGGAGTTTACAGAACGTCAGAGGAACAGTGAGAGAGACATCGTGATACTGTGTGCCAAGTGTATGGGACTAAACACAGTTTACTGCAAGCATATTACCCAGATTTGGGAACTAAAGAAACTTGCTGTGAAGAGACACAGCAACTCTTATAAAGGAAACCATTTAATTGGAGTGGCTTACAGTTCAAAAAGGTTTATTAGTCCATTATCATCATTGAGGGGACCTGGTGACGTGTAGGCAGACATGATGTGGGAGAAGAAACTGAGAGTTCTAGATCTTCATCCGCAGGCAACAGGAAGTGAACTCACACTGAGCACATCCTGAACATAGGAAACCTCAAAGCCCACCCCCATAGTGACACACTTCCTCCGACAAGGCCACACCCACAACAACAAAGCCATACCTCCTAATAGTGCTACTCCTTAAGAGATTATGGTGACCGATTACATTCAAACTACTACATTCCATTCCCTGACCTCCTATAAGCTTGTAAAAATATCATAATGCAAAGTGCATTTAGTCTAACTTCAAAAGTTCCCATAGTCTACATAGTCTCAACAATGTTTAAAAGTCCAAAGTTCAAAGTCTCTTCTGAGATTTATGCAATCTCTTAACTGTAATCCCCTGTAAAATCAAAATAAAAAAATAGATCACATATTTCCAATACATAATGGCACAGGATATACATTATTGTTCCAAAATGTAGGGAAGGGTGTGTAGTGAGGAAACACTGGACTAAAGCAAGATCAAAAACCAGGGCAAACTCCAGACTCTGCATCTTCATGTCTAATGTTGAAATGCTCTTTAGATCTCCAACTCTATTCAGCTTTGTTGACTGCAGCAGACTTCTCTCCCTTGGTTGGTTCCACTCCCTGTTAGCAGCTTTCCTCGGCAGGTATCCCACGGCTCTGGCATCTCCAACATCTTGGGGTCTCCAAGGTAATCAGGGTTCCCCTTCACAGCTTCACACAATGGCCTGTTTACTAGGTCTCCATTCAGGGACACCTCTGACACATGCCTGGTCTCAGTGGCTTTATTCCACAACTCCTTTCTTCTATCCTTAACTCTAAACTATGTGGCCAAAGCTGCCAAGTTCTGCTGCTTGCTGGGGCTGGAACCTTGTACAATTACATTTTCATCAGCTTTCTGTTTTCCAAGGTTTCCTTCACTGCCTAAGCTTGGCTCTCCTGAGACTGGAACTGTAGACCAGGCTGGCCTCAACTCAGAGGTCCACCTGCTTCTGCCTCTGGAATTCTGGGATTAAAGGCATGCACCACCAGCTCCAAGCTTTTTTTAAATTCCTTTTCACAAGCTGGAAACTTAAATGGGTGGGACCTTACCCTGAGGTCACCACTCCCTTTTTTCCATTTCTTTTTTTGTTTGTTTGTTTTTTGTTTTTGTTTTTGGTTTTGGTTTTGGTTTTGGTTTTGGTTTTTGGTTTTTCAAGCCTGGGTTTCTCTGTGTGGCTTTGCGCATTTCCTGGAACTCGCTTTGTAGACCAGGCTGGCCTTGAACTCACAGAGATCTGCCTGCCTCTGCCTCCAAGTGCTGGGATTAAAGGCATGCACCACCACCACCTGGCTATTCCATTTCTTTATCTGTTTATCTCCTTGAACACAGGACTTAGTTCCATTCCACTTCCTGATGCTTTTTTTCTCCTCAAATTGTACATTTTGTATTTTTCCTTTATTGGCTTGCTCTTTTTCATTATAAATTCTTATAAGCATGAACACTAGTAACCACACGACAGAGTCTGTACTAGGCTGTTTTGAGCTTTCCTCTGCCAATGGAATTAATCCCAATCTCCCACTTTGGCTTCAGGCAGACTCTTTGGACAAGGGCAAAAAGCAGCCACATTCTTCATCAAAATGCCACAAGAACAATTTCTAGGCAACATACTAAAATTCTTCTCCTCTGAAACCTCTTGAGTCA